ATTTATCTCTTATAGCTTGTTTTAAAAATCACCTGAGTAACATTTTTACTTTTTTTTTTTTTTTTTTAAACAAAGTGCTCCCCCAATAGTTCCAGTCCCCTGGGTGGAAAAGGTGAAGGGACGGAGAAGTACAGATTGGTAGTTACCCAGTAGTCACGGGGATGTAAAGTGCAGCAGTAAAGTCCATGAGACCCAGACCGTGCACCTTTTAGGCGAAAGGCAGGGCGGCTCCTCCTCTTGTTCTTTCATCTGCTGCAGGAGAGTCCAGAGCGGAGTCCAAGGTAGGACTCAGTCTGTGGAGGGTCAGGACAGGATGACTCCCTAGGCCCTGGGACACTATAGGGAACAAATGATTGAAAACAATAGGAGCATGAGTCCTCAACACTAGTGCCCTCAGGTCTCATCTGGCCTTTTCATATCTGCTTCCATCTTGTTTAATAAGAAACCTTTTCGTGTGAAGACTTTGTTCCATTTCATTGCCTCATTCACTCGGGAAATGACTACTGGGTGTCTACTGTTTGGATTCCCAGTGGTTTCTCTTTTTACCATCTTTTCAACCGATTGTTGATTGTTTACATGAATACAATTCTGCTCAGAAAAACTCATATTTAAAACATGAAATTTTCTGTATATCATAAATAAGACAATTCAAGTAAAACTGCCCATTACTGAGTGTTTTTTAAATGAACTTATAAACATTAATAGCCAATAATATACAATCCACGGCAAGGATTCAGCATTCCTTGGATGTCATCTCCTTATGGTAAATAGTTTTTTGGGACAGCCTGTATAATCAGTTTTATTTATATAATATATTTTACTTTATGAACACATTAACCTTTCATATCAAATGAATTTGTAAACCTGTAATTCCGATGTGTCTGCTCCTAAATGGAATTATCCTGACTCCCCAGGTGCCTGCGTGAACATCACCCACAGCCACTGTCAGATGTTGCCCTACCACACCACGCCAGCCTCTCCCGCCCCCATTGTGAAAGACATGGATGTGGAGAAGTTCCTCAAGTTCTTCATGTACCTCCATCGCTTCGGCTGCTATCAGTATATCATGCTTTTTGGCTGTAGCCTTGCCTTCCCCGAGTGCATCAGTGATGGTGATGACAGGTATTTTGGAACCAAAATCATTCCGTGATGAGTCAGTTGCAGCAAAAGTGTCTGAGAGGAACAAAATTACCCCAAGCTACCACATTTTGTTGTTGTTGTTGTTGAAGGAGGAAAATGCCCACAACAGCCCCACACCAGTCATAGCCAGTTGTAATTCTTTTAAACTGGAAATGTTTTGAAAACCTGGAATAATTTTATTAATGGGAAGAAATTATTCAGTATGTTAGATTGATGCTATCAGCTGTGATAGTAGCTATTTCAGGGAGGGACTGGCAGAGACAGCATCCTCAAAGGGGTGATGGAAAAGAGTTTATTGAAGGGACTATTTATGGAGGTGTGGTTGGCTTAAGAGAACAAATAAGTGATGGGAGGCACCAGGGCCCCGTAATAGGGGGATGCAGTTCCACCACTCAGGGCTTGAAAGGGGAAGAGCGTGGGCAGCACCGGGAGGGGGTTCTAGGTATGGGTGGGTCGGGGGGTCTCCCAACAGGCCAAGTGCTGCGACCCCAACCAGAGGACTGCAGAGAGAGAGAAGGAATAGATACCCTGACCTCACTCTCCTCCTGCCCTTCCATCTGCCAGGGCCTCCCACCACTGAACTCACCAACAACCATCGCGCAACTGTAGGCAATTAATGGGAGCTCAATAGATAAGATCCAAAAATCTCATCTAAATATCATCAGCTTACAAGCCTCATGTCTCATCGTTTAAATCAGGAATTAGTGAGATGCTTGGTGAGTTTCATGGTCAACACTGGAGCTCAGAGCAGGGCGAGGAGGGCGAAGGGTTGATGCAGAGGGACTGAGACTATATCAAATAGGGTTAGAAATAATTTTCAATAAAGGTAAATCAATGAAGAGCATGTCAGGGAATATCTGACATACTAAGTATTCATTTTAAAAGCATATGTTAAAATAATAATCACAATTATTATCTGAATTGAAATGTTAGGAAGTTTTCAGAATAATAATGTTAGAATGAATTGCATTTTCAAGTGCAAGTAGATTGCATGTTATGTGTACTAATTTAATTAGTGCGTAAAAGATAACTTTCAGTAGGCAAAGCCATTTATTATTTGAACTGGAAAAAGCCTGCATTGCCATAGACTAAATACTAGTTAGAATAGAAGTAGTAGATTCTGGACTGTAGAAGTAAGTAAAGAACTATTAGCAGGCACAGCATTCAGGAAAGTTTTGCTGGAAAGCACTGTCTGTAGAGGGTGCCTTCATGGTAACAGAGAGGCTCTGTTAGGTCTTTCCAGGGGTGAGAGTGTAGATGGTAGTGAGGGGGCCCCTTATGTCCCTAGAATGATGGCAGTATGGCAGGGTGGTCGAATTCATTTCCTAGGGCTGCCAGAACAAATTACTACAGCTGGGTGGCTTCCACCACAGAAACGTATTCTCTCACATTTCTACAAGCTGTAAGTCCAAGATCTGGCAGAGCCATGGCCCCTCTGGGGATTTCAGGATGGGGGCTGAGTGACTCCCTTCCTTCCTTTGTCAGCCTCTGGTGGTTTCAGGCCTTCGTTGACTTGCAGCCACATGCCAAGGAAATCTCTGGCTCTGGCTCCAGTCTCCATCCTCACATGGCCTTCCCTTCTGCGTTTGTGTCTTTTCTTCTGTCTCTTATGGGGGCACTTGTCATTGGGTATAGGATTAACATAAGATGATCTCATCTTCTCAAGGTCCTTAACTTAATGACATCCACAATGACCTTTTTACCAAATAAGGTCGCATTCAAGGTTCCCAGGGTTAGGACATGGACATATCTTTTTGGGCCACCATTGACCATACTGCAGTGGCTGAGAAAGCAGGCGATGGAGCCACATGCCTGAGACTTTTCATCTGTAAAATGGAGATAAAAGTTGTATTTACTTTACGAAGTTCACGTTAGGTTTAAATGACAGAGAGTTTGGAATAGTGCCTGGCTTTTAGAAACAGCTCAATAGATGTCAGCAATAGTTATCAAATAGTGGATTGAAAAGAAGGGGAAGTACTGATAAAATTGAGGACACAAAAAGTATTTATAACATATGCTAAGTATTGAAAGATTGGAAAATAAACATAGAATACTATATGGATTAAAAGAAATTTAGGTAGAATACTCAAGGCTGCTAGAGCTGGATTCTAATTCCATTTCTCCTGAATTTCAAACAATTTCACTTACATCTCTTTGCTTTACTTTCCTGTGGACTGGCGTGTGCACAAACAAGACAATGAAAGAGAGAGCTTTCGGCTTCCAGGAGACGCTTATTTCACTTTGATCATCGTTATTGTAATTCAGTCTCAGCTCTCAATTAAATTAGTTGCAAAATTCTAGGTAAGTGGCTCACAGTCTTCAGGGCACTCTTAAGTAAAATTTGTTTTTCTCCTGACCTGGTTTGTCCTAAGAAGTGCTCTCATGTGAGAGTTTTCCAATTTCTGTTATAATGGGTAATAATTTATAGTCGGTTTTCAGATATTTTTCAGGGACTCATGCTATTTTCTGTTATTACATTTATCATCACATTTAATTGTATAATTACACTTTCAGACCAGTTACTTCCTACTATCACTTATCATGTGCACAGGACCTACAAGCTAAATTCAATAAGCACAATAAGTTTGAAAAAAGTAAAACATATTATGGAAAATAATTCTAAAGTTGAACATATTTTTCTTATATTACACTACAGTGAATACTTTTATATTAATATTCTCTACTATTCAAATTCTCTACTATTCAAATAACAAAAAATTGCTTATATTCCATCCTAGAAAAAATAGCTACTTAATAACATTTAAAAATTAACTTAAAAAGATAGAGTGGGATGTCTAAATCATATAGTTTTTAACTTGATTCCTTTGAGACCTCAGGTACTCATTAAAACTACATCATATAACAGTGAACTTTAACAGTGTCCATTTTAGACTAGGTTGCACTTTAATAAACGTGTGTGTCATGCACTATATAACAGGCTAATTGAAATAGAGTATACTTTATATGGATTCAGTGAAATGTAGCTCAAAATATGGAGATTTAGCTGATAAACCATCTGGGTAACCCTAAAACCATGTGGGATAGAAGGAGTAGCTTAGAAATATCAGCAAGTAGCTGGAGAGAAATTCACAATTCCCGGGCCAGGAGAACAAAGGTTTGTAGATGGCCTGATGCACAGGTACACTGGAGGTGTCTGCGTCTGAAAGAGGAAGCAGGTGTCGCAGCCCCATTCTTTGGATGAGTAACCATCACCCTTTCTCACCTTGTTAAGTAACAGGTGCATAACTTGATCAAAGCTTGGAGGGGGGTTAATTTGGGCTGGAACATCCAGCTTTGGCTTTGCTTCTAGAAGACACCCAGGAGACCCTGCTGATTGTCATCACCCTCCTCACATCTTCTAATTCTTTGCAGAGAAACTCTGCTCATGAAATGAGGCCTTAACATTAAACACTTGACGTGTTTTGCTATTGCTTTTCCCCTCTGGGGTGTTGCTTTGCTGCTGGCTCCTTAGCAGAAATTCTTAAAATCTGTGGAAATAAATAAAAATTGTATATAGCCACACGACTAGAGATTAAAGATTATATCTCTGTACTGTACTTGATCCATGTAGGATTGCTAGGAGGGTCAAATGCGTTTCTTCAAGTGATCTTTTCAAAAGCCCTATACTTTTTTCCAAATAAGCATGTTCATTGGAGATTAGAGAATTTATCTGGTGACTGCAGAGAATGTGCTTGAAAAACTAGGGGCAGATGAAACCTGATTCCTTATAGCTCTGCCAGTTGTCAGTTATAAGACCTTGGGAACTTTCATTAGCCTTTCTGACCCTCAGTTTCTTCATCTCCGTTAGATACTGATCATACCCACTTCATAGAGTTTGTGTGTATTAATCATGGCTCACATAAGGTGCTCATACGTGGTCTACACTGTCTGGTACACAGTAACTTCTCTGTGAATAGTAAGTACTGTTATTGCTGTAGGACTCAGAGATGGTGCGTGAGTTTCTGGGAGGGTATAAACTTCATCACCTCTTTCAGAGATGCAAGATTTGCATATTTTTCTCATTCTTCCCACCTTCTAATTAATTTTCTACTTAGCTGCCAAAGTGATGATTTAAAAATACAAATTAGCTCTGGCTGGTGTGGCTCGGTTGGTTGGAGCAGCATCCCAGACACCGAAAGGTCGCGGGTTTGATCCCCAGTCAGGGCCCAAGCCCAGGGTGCGGGTCTGATCCCTAGTCAGGGTGAGCATGGGAGGCAACAGCCTATGTTTCTCTCTCTCTCCGTCTCCCTTCCTCTCTCTCAAAAATCAATAAAAACATGTCCTAGGGTGGGGGTTTAGAAACCCCCACAAATTAGATGATGTTATTCCCCTGCCTCTACTCTTTCTAGGGCTTTCCATTGGATATAGATTGCAAGCTAATGGTTTGGAAGCCTTCCTGCTCCTCTAGTGTCATCAGCTCTGCCCCAGCTGCAGTGATCTTTCTGTTTCTCAGAAATGCCAACTTTCTCATTTCAATTGCACATGTTGTTCCCTTTACCTTTAAGGATCTATCCCTCCCGCTAAGCCCTCTGCTCAGAAGACCTCTCTGCAGAGAAACCTCCTCTGACTACCCTCGCTGGCTGCCCTGCTCTCTTTCACTGCTGCCTGGCTGTGTCTCTTTTTGCTCTGTGTGTGTCGTCGGTCTTACTTTATACACTCCACAGTGGCAGAGCTTGACTTTGTACATCATTCTGTACCCGGTGTTCAGAACGGTGCCCCACACATAGTAGGTGCTCAATAAATATTTATAGGAATGAATAAGTAAATAAACTCATCATTTAGGGAGCCCTTCTAAATGTCTAGGTAAATGAGGGTTCGAAATATGTCAGCTGTTGTTGTACGTTGCTTACTGTAATTCACATGGTCCTGAAAGTTCACGTATAAATCAAATTTTATACATATAAAGCGAATAACAATTTTAAATGGAGTTAGATGGTATTCCCAGAAATGATTTAGCTTCTTTCTGAGTGAGCTTCAGATGG